TTAGGAATCATAGCTCTGTAATGCAGAGCCTCCTCTTTTTCAAGGGACCAAAAGTAATTGGACAATGGACTCCAAAGGCTGCAAGTAACTCAAAAGGCCTTTCCCTCATTAACCTGTAATCAAGTAAGTAGTTAAAAGGTCTGGGGTTGTTTCCAGGTGTGTGGTTTTGCATTTGGAAGCTGTTGCTGTGACCAGACAACATGCGGTCAAAGGAGCTCTCAATTGAGGTGAAGCAGAACATCCTGAGGCTGAAAAAAAGGAAAAAATCCATCAGAGAGATAGCAGACATGCTTGGAGTAGCAAAATCAACAGTCGGGTACATTCTGAGAAAAAAGGAATTGACTGGTGAGCTTGGGAACTCAAAAAGGCCTGGGCGTCCACGGAAGACAACAGTGGTGGATGATCGCCGCATACTTTCTTTGGTGAAGAAGAACCCGTTCACAACATCAACTGAGGTCCAGAACACTCTCAGAGAAGTAGGTGTATCTGTCTCTAAGTCAACAGTAAAGAGAAGACTCCATGAAAGCAAATACAAAGGGTTCACATGTAGATGCAAACCATTCATCAATTCCAAAAATAGACAGGCCAGAGTTAAATTTGCCCAAAAACACCTCAAGAAGCCAGCCCAGTTCTGGAAAAGTATTCTATGGACAGATGAGACAAAGATCAACCTGTACCAGAATGATGGGAAGAAAAAAGTTTGGAGAAGAAAGGGAACGGCACATGATCCAAGGCACACCACATCCTCTGTAAAACATGGTGGAGGCAACGTGATGGCATGGGCATGCATGGCTTTCAATGGCACTGGGTCACTTGTGTTTATTGATGACATAACAGCAGACAAGAGTAGCCGGATGAATTCTGAAGTGTACCGGGATATACTGTCAGCCCAGATTCAGCCAAATGCTGCAAAGTTGATTGGACGGCGCTTCACAGTACAGATGGATAATGACCCCAAGCATACAGCCAAAGCTACCCAGGAGTTCATGAGAGCAAAAAGGTGGAATATTCTGCAATGGCCAAGTCAATCACCAGATCTTAACCCAATTGAGCATGCATTTCACTTGTTCAAATCCAGACTTCAGACGGAAAGACCCACTAACAAGCAAGACCTGAAGGCTGCGGCTGTAAAGGCCTGGCAAAGCATTAAGAAGGAGGAAACCCAGCGTTTGGTGATGTGCATGGGTTCCAGACTTAAGGCAGTGATTGCCTCCAAAGGATTCGCAACAAAATATTGAGAAAAAACTTTTTTGTTTGGGTTATGTTTATATGTCCAATTACTTTTGAGCTCCTAAAATGTGGAGTGTTTGTAAACAAATGTGTACAATTCCTACATTTTCTATCAGATATTTTTGTTCAACCCTTTAAATTAAACGTTACAATCTGCACTTGAATTCTGTTGTAGAGGTTTCATTTCAAATCCAATGCGGTGGCATGCAGAGCCCAACTCACAAATATTGTGTTACTGTCCAAATATTTCTGGCCCTAACTGTATATATTCAGAATCTCCATAACAAAAAGTTATTAGTATGCTTTATATGATCATGATGTTCACCTATAATACTCCCAATCAAAGCAACACAAAAAGACGACAAATAGATGCTGCATTTATGTTTCACAACATAGTTGCAAAACTACCTAGAACAGCGTGAAAAGGAACAAAGTTCATTGTTACAACAATATCTGGGTTACTGAGGCTGTTATATATTCAAGTGTAAAATTAGTTATTTCATCCTCACAATAACACTAGAAAAGGTATTAAAAAAGATTTAAATGTAGGAATTTCTATCCACAGGGTTAAACAAGATCCCAGTCTACAAATTGATACCTGTCTATTTAATAACTGCTTTTCCTGCAACTGTTAGAAACAGGACCTGAAAAAATAATAAATTAAAGCCTTAAAAGATAGACACTTTTGTAAATGTAGAGTAAACATATATGCAAATGCAAAGGCTGTACAATAAATGACAAGTTTAGTTTTATATATATATGAGGCCACTTTTAATGCAGCAACAAACACTTTAGAAGGTAAAGAGATGGAAAAGTTCTTCAGTCATCGAGACTATAAGTTGTCTCATTTCCAAAACAGCACATGCCAGCCAAAAGCAACTTTTTCTATCAAATCTGTTGGAAATGAAACTATAGAATTTGAATTTTTTCAGTAGCTGGACAGATTATTCATAACTAAAGTGAGTCTATTGCAAGTCGTACTGTTATCACAACACTCTCCAACATTTCTGCATGTTACACTTTTCATGAAACTTTTATATCCCTACTTACAAACAGAAACATGCAGTTATTTTAGAAGTGAAATGCCCAATGTACTCCTTTGCTGAGAGTTTTACAAAGCATTGAAGATTTACTATCATTTCTTGAGACGTTTTAAGGCGATTATGGCCGATCCAGTACCATGACTGTTTCAGATGAATTTGTTACATGTAGAACTGCTGCTGCACTCACCTGGCTTTGGCACATAGTGCTTTCACTTCATTTTCCTTGATTAGCTCACAGCGTCGGAGCTGCTCTATCTGTCGGTCCAGGTCACTGATATCCCCCATTGTCACACACATAGAGCTGTTCACACTATTCACGTTTCACACACTGGGATCCCTGTGTGCTCGGCTCCTCCAACCCCACAGCAACCGAGCCAATATCCAGCACGGGAAGAGGCCGGAGGTCCGCTTCAGTCACAGAGATCTGAGTAAAACCAAAAGCTGAGGGGGAAATAAAACAAGGCTATTTATTCAAATGGAAAATAAACAGCTTCCAACATTCAGAACTAACCAGCCTTGTATTTGTTGTGAGGCTACATATACGCGTAATCCAGTCTGCTGTCTAAAAAGTAAAACAATAGTAACTTCAAAAAGTTCTTAAACGCTTAAAAATGTGGCAGAAAAGTTGGCTTATTTCTTGAGGAATGTGAGGCCTATGGGCGCAGCTTAACCTATGCTAGCCGCTAGCATGTTAGCTTACATCACCACTAATGCGTCAGAGAACAACTGATTCTTAGAGAACTAAGCCAACCATTTTGTTCAGGAATTTGTCGTAATGGTTTGACAAATGTCTCACAGCGGACACCGAACATCGCCCTGTATTCGATGGCTGGTTGTTTTAATGAACTATGTCAATTTATGAAGAGGAGTGGCTGCATCGCCTGATTAACTTTACATTCGGCGAAAACGCTGGTTAGCTCTCCTCGGCTAACTTCACTAGCAAGACACTACCGCTAGCGCGCTTCATAACGGCGAGCGTATCCTGTCTGAATAGATAAGACTTCAAAAACGTAATTACCGTGTTTCTGAAAGCTTGAAAAACGGTCATCCACGTTCCTCTCCGTAGATGATTGATTCTTTCGCCTCTCGTTCACCGGCTCCACTCCCTCCCCCGGTATCGTCTTTGCCGGTTCGGTCCTGCTGCGCTCACCACCAACGTCAACTGGTGGTGAGCTCCTCCAACTTCCGGTGCGGGGGACGCGCGCTGCTCTAATTTTCAACCAGGTAATCGGTATCTGACTGGAAAAGCTTACAAAACAGGCTAAACGACATAGAAATAGAAATCTACAACCTGTGACTGGGTTATAAAGACTATTCTGTTTTCAAGGTTGTGGTCAAAAATCTTTTTTGTTCTTAAAGAAACTCGAGATATTTTTTGTTTGATTTGCCAGTGACTAATGAAAATAGAAATATATTTATTTTTCTTAGCCACTGGTTAAGAGACTAAGGGAACTTAGTCAACTTAGAAAAACGGATTCTAAATTGTTAGAATCAGTTTTTATTTCAATGCCAAACTGAAAATCGGCATACGCTATATCTACAGTGTATGTAAATCTTTCAGTGTATTTTCAACTTTCCTGTATGAAAATATTTCATACAGAAAATATTTAATAATAATAATAACATAATAATAATGATAAACACCATCTAAAATGTTATTTTATTTCCTAAGTTTTTAAAATTGCCATTAAAAGAGCATTTGATCAGTTCTTTTGGAATTCTCCCTTTATGAAATAATTTTTAATAACTTGTATCCAGTGTTACTGTAGAACAAGAGTCACAGAAAATTAAAACATCATTCTTTATTCAACAAATGAAGAAAAACATGGGCATAAAATCGTACACAAAGTCATTATAAAAATAAAGCATGGTCACGTCAGTAGGAATGAGCACACTGGTTCATTTTTGGAGACATTTCTGAGAACACAAGGCACATCTTCAAAAAGCTCATCGGTGCATGACATAACTATTTTCTTGTGAGTAATAAACTAATTGTATGTTCATAACTAAAAGTTAAAAGCGGATGAAATTTGGCTCATTAACAGTGGTGGGAAGTAACGAAGTACAGGCACTTTGTCACTGTACTTAAGTACAGTTTTTGTGTATCTTTACTTTACTTAAGTAGATTTAATAGTGGATACTTTCGACTTTTACTCCACCACATTTTACAGTAAGTATATGTAAAAATGTAATTACCGTGTTTCTGAAAGCTTGAAAAACAGTCGTACTTTCTCCACCACTGCTCATTAAAGCTCTGAACATTGTTCAACGGGTGGGTTCATTGATCCAGTTGGACCAGTGACACCCTTACAATCAACACAAAAGTTTTACACAGTTAATGTAGCAATGAGTGCTAAAAAAAGAAAGACTCTAAACCCCTAGTAGAAACTAAAGATGGTAGTAAAGGCCCAACTTTGAAGCCAAAACCTTTTTAAAGGCACTGTAAAAAACGACAGAGCTTCCAGCTTGATGCTCAGATTGTTTAGTCTCAAGGTTCTGATATAATTTACTAAGAAAAATTAGAGGTTTTTCCATTTCCAAAGTTTTATTTACTGGCATATTAGTGATTTTCTGGTATCTATAAATATCTACTGAGAAACTGATTTATTTCAAGTTTATTTGATGAGTAACCATTAACCTTTAAAACTAGCAGTACAAATAAACTTGTTTAAAACTATCATTGAAATAAGACTTGAATACTATCTAGTATATATTTATATACAAAATAACAGTTTCAAGAATTGTTCATTTATAAATCAGTAAAAAACTTAGCACTACAACACATCAAAGATCTGTTGGTGTATCAACCTTGCAGACCTCTTCAGTCTTCTGGTTCTGGTTCTGCTTTGCATCCAGAACCAAACATGTAGAAGCATCATTCAGCTTCTTTGTACCACAAAGTGCTTATCACTTTGAATTGCCTCAGTGCTAAAATTTGCTGTAAAACAAACTTGATTGCTCGATTTAACAAGGTGCTTAAGCTGCATCTCTGCCCTCTGTGTCCCAGTCAAAGGTTAATACTCTCCATTTGTATTGATGGAAGTTTGCAGGAAAGTAAGAGCTTTTATCAATCAAATACTACCACGCCGGTGCTTTCAGTTAACAGTGAAAATGTGAAGGTGTTTAAAACACAAACATAAAGAGCTATTTTTAACATCAATGTTTCAAAAGAATGTAGCAGAAAATGCTTTTAAGCAAATATTACAGTTTACAGGAGCCTGTCATCCCTCCTGAAGACTTTACTGACTGACTGATCATAGAATACACTTCAGACAATTAATCTGTACAAAGAACATCAAAGTTAAACTGTCACATGAAGCAGGTTCAGATGAAGACACATTATGTAATGAGTTTCTTAAATTTGTTGTGTGGGGCAGACACACTATAAGGCAGAGGTTCTCAACATTGTCAGTATTTCCGTCTGGACTCGTGAATCCTCAAATGTCTTGAGATTCCCTTAAAAATTGAACTAAATAAAATAATGTGTTGTAGCACTGTATTTTAAGGCTATCAAAATCAAGAGATAAAATCACTACTTATGAGAGAATAAAAACAGATCCAAGAGGATTCATTGTCAGCTGATGCAGGTTGTGTTGTCAGTTGTTTAACTGGCACAGTCTGGGTTACCACCAGCCTCCTTCACTGGTATTTCATGGGCTGGAAGCTGAAACCACTGATAATGTCAGTTTTCTTCTGCAGAGTATTCAGCAACTGGTGCTGCTGAATTCAGGGGGGATTCTTTATGTGTAGATGAGGATTTTTATGAAAGAGTTATGTGTTTTATTCTAAATCCCAATCTTTGAAGAAATTGTTAAAACAGAGTCCTCCTCTAGTATGTTGGTTATTCATCAAGATGGGGGGTGCAGGCGCTTCGTCACAGGGAGCAGAAGTAGCTATGTGTGGGGAAAGCTGCAGCTCCAGCCACAGCTATTCCCAGACTGTCTCCCACACTGGACGTTGCCATGGCAAACTCTCTGTGTCTGCTTTCAGTCTGTGGGAGAAAGGACATCCATGAAGAAACGCTTAGAGGTGTGTTTATGTGAAGATGTGGAAAAATGTTTGGCCATCCTGGTAAAGATGTGGATCAAATGCAAACATCCTTTATTGCACAAGAATCATCTCAAACTCATTTTGATTTTTTAGAAAAATTCCCTTTAATTAGTGTAAATTTACTACGAGGGACACTTAAATATTTAAGGGGAAAATCCCCTCTGACACCTTTAGCAACACCCTTGCAGATGATGCACTGCACAGCTTCCATTCTCTACTGGACACAGTTTAATCTTTATCACTTTACATTAATGAAGCAAGCAGAAAGAAGAATGTTTGATCAGTTTTATATGCATTTGTCAATATATTTTGAGTGACCGAAAGACGCAAAGATAATTGTATCTATTAATGAACAGAACCTGACTCCACTGTTTCATCACTAGGACCAATTGGAATGGATGAATTATGGTTTGACTTTTTTAATAAATAGAATAGAATAGAATAGAATAGAATAGCATTTATTGTCATTGAACAGGATTCAACAAAATTTCTATTGCAACTCCCGTGCAAAAAGTCAAAATATACAATATTAAATAAACAAACACACAATAATAATAATAATAATAATAATAATAATAATAATAATAATAATAATATAATAATAATAATATACACTAAAATTAACTAAAGGCACTCAACCACACCAAAGAAGAAGCAGCAGGTCCAATTATGGTAAAGTGCAGATGATGACCCATGTTATGAATTAGAGCTGCATTGATAAACTGGACTGAATTGATATTCACCAGATTTGTATTTAGATCCTCCTGGTGTATCAGGAAATTCAAGTTGCCATGCTATCAAACAAGCTCCCACAGTGCTGGCAGCAAAATTGGCCCACAGCATCACTCCTCCTCCTCCGTACATATTGGCAGATGTTTAAAGCAAACACACCTACAGTCTCATCTGGCCAAATTAAGCACTTCCAGTTAAGGTCAGAGTTTAACAGGTCTGTACCCCAACAATTGTGATTGTGGTGATGTTTTCATTAAAAAGGATTTCCTAACATGTCATTTCCACCCAACTAAATTTTGGTGATATATTCTCATTTGTCTCTCATTTTCAACAAGATTTATGCTTCTGCAATAGATGATTAATTAATTTTAAGTGTTTTTTTTTTACCCATTTTTACCAAGAGGCAACAAATTTGTCCACAAAAGTAAATATAAACCAAGAAAGTCAAAACTGTAAAAATATGCATTCTTCAACTTGAAAAACAAGCAGGCAGACAGACGACGTTACCTCCTTGCTGATGAAGTGGAAGGTGTTTACATAGGCTGCTCCACCCAACAAACCCTCATAGAGAATAATACCAAAGACAATCCAGATGCTGGGCAGAAACTGGTAGAACACAGCAAAGATGAGGAAAAATGCGTTCACCATCTGTAGCAGGCAGAGAGAAGGACAGGGAATAAACATTTAGAGCAATTTTTTACAAAAGACAGTGAAACAACAAAATTTGAAGCATTCACAAATTCTATGCTAAAATGACCATCAATATAACATCTCTTATCCTTGACTTGCTTGGAAAGCCTCAGCTGTGCAGCAGCTGCCATGCCTGTTGACATAAAACATTTCTGATCCTTTGCTGTGTGGTCGGTCACTTCGGCTCTGACTGTCCTCTCTGGATTGTTACATAATTCCTTTTGTCCAGCCAAAAAGGTCAGACGTGTTCATATCTTTTTTGTAATCTGCTGTAACGAGCCAATATGTAAACTGATATGTGTATAGTCCATCTGGAATGACTTCATTATCTCAGGGTAAACCTCGCTGTAAGACTGAGAACTTCTGTTGAATGTTTTCTATTTGAGGATTTACAACATGACCAGCTGCAAGTTGTTGGATCAATTGATCGTTTCATTATTCAGTGCAACCACCAGAGTGATTGGCAAGTTTAATTTAGATGAACCGACTGAGAAACAGTTTCAGAGCCCCTGGACTAGTACAAAGTTGAATTTTTCTTCTTTCACAATCAGATACAAACTACATAATCATTACATTTTTTCTGTCCTGATGGAAGAAACACAAAATGCTATATTCCTACTGTCTCAGCAGAAGGTGGTGTTTATTGGTGCATCTTTTGTTTTAATTTCCATAGCAACTGAAATGTTACAAGTAGAAAACATTCACCAAGCATGTTTCCACTAATAAAGAAAAGTCTGCTACAGTCAACAATAAATCTATCATCTAAGTTTAATAACTCATGAAGAATAAACCAACAAATAGTGAATTATTTTATTTTTAGAGAGAGATTCCACCTGGCCCTTCAAGTAGCCTCCTGCAATTATTTAACAGGCATTATTTCTAATTCCTTTAAGCAGACATTACCATATAAGGTTCTGCTGTATTTGATAAACCTGGCTACAAGTGCAGTTACATGTTACCATGGTCACTGACAGCTGATGCACTTCTAGATTTGTAGTTGGTCCATTTCTCACCTGCAGTAACGAGAAAATCCAAGTTTTCCTGAACTTTATCAAACGCAGAGATGATCGGGACAGGAACACACCAACCTGGTACAGGGTCTGGTACCTGAGCAAATACACACACAACAATCAGAACCTTTCACCTGAATGAAACAGTATCGAAAAATTTAATACTAAAAGACAGTTTACTGACCAGCGATACTGTTCCGCATGCGATAAGGAAGAGTTGTGAAAAAACAGGAGCTCCATCTGACAAATACAACAAAAAGAAAATCAAAATTCTTCTCGTATAAATGTTTATAGTCGTTTTATTGCTAAAAAGAATAATTTCTTCTTCATGATAGGAGTGTCTTATAATTCCTGAAATCTCACACAAATTTACAGCATGCAGTGAGATGAGTGTGAGGCCAGAGGTCACTAAAGAGCTTACCAAGCCTTGGTTGATGAAGTACTCAGCAAAGTAGACCACTCCCAGAGGAATAACAAACTGTAACAAGCCCTGTTCACAGAAACAATATCCACTCTTAGTGTTTGATGACAATGGAGAAAATCTTCCAAACGTGTGAGAGATGCACTTACCTTGATGACAGCTAACTTCTCCTGCAGGGTGACCGGTCCCATGGTCCTGTCCTCTGTTACAGTCAAAGAGGAGAGAATAATAAGTCACTACACATGCATTCACTGTAGAGAACATCATCATTATTACATATATTACAGTTACAAGATAAAATATTCATAATCATTTTATTCATGTCACAGTAAAGATACAAACTTTAGTGTACTTTATTGGGAGTGAATGTGACCGATCAACTCGCCGTCGATCAACACACTCTACTGCGTTTAGTTTTGCCTCTGCTTGGACAACGCTAAATGTTTTGTCCTACATGTTAAATGTTTGGTGTAGATGAGAAGGAACATGTCAAATCCCCATAATTCCACTGTCCCAACAATCAAGCATGGTGGTGTTTACTGATGGGATGTTTTTCTTCAACAGTGAAGCTGGTCAGGCCTGATGGGAAGATAGATAGAGCTAAACCCAGAACATCAAAACTTCCAGGTTTGGTTGGATGTGTGAAGGGTTTAATCTAAAGGTGGGACTTCAGTTAATTACAGGGTTAAACTGAATCAAAGTGCTACACCTGATCAATTCCTCATGTTTCAGGAACTCCTGGTCATTCCTGGAGCTTGTTTGTGGACTGTGGACTCTGATGTTAGCATTGGGAACGTCTGTGCTGCTGCTACATCTTTAGCATTGAGAAGCTATTTAAGCTTGAATAGCTTCACTGACAGGTTAAGTCCTTTTAGCATAACTTGAACACAACAATAGTCTTTTCCAGCATCTAATCAGATCTGCTGTAGAAGCAGAAATGAACCTGAAGCAGCTTTGACCTGCTGAAGGTCATTTTGTTTCGCATCAGATTTTCAGGCATCCCAGAAACACAGTACAAAGGTTCCAGCTCGGGTCTTTTGTATTCTCATCATAATACTGGTATGACAGTCATATATCCATTCTTTTTCGCTCTGCCTTCTTAAATCCAAAAATAAGTAGATTAGACTTCAACACATATACTGCTGGATTTTGATAATTGCTGTGTGTAAAGTCATAAGATTTTTTTTACTTGATGTTTGTTCTGTTTCTGAATTGAACTGAGATGAATCAAATCATTTAAAGTCCTGAGAATGATTCGTTGAATGACTCTTTACTTCAGAGCGGGTGTTCCATCAACCTTCACCACTTATCAGTGACTTACTTATTTTGTACAGAATTAAACTGATGTAGAAATATGAATAACATTTTTCCAGAAAATCAAGCCAACATCCAGATTCTTATCACTTGCCCGGAAAAGTTTAAGCTAAATTAGTGGACAGCAACCACATTGCATGATAACAAGCACGTCTTATGAAGAGGAAGTGTTCATTTAGAGATTAATTACTTTCTAATCAAACCAAATATCAACACGTTTTCCTCAAACAGAAAAACTGACATTTCAGTCAGATCAGATAAAACCAATGGAAGACATGATACTGGCCAACTCATATTGATGGACAAACTCTGATATTGCATTAACTGATTGACCAATTAAAAATCAAGCATTCTGAAAATTCTATGTTAATGTCAGACGTTCTGGATGTTGCTGGATGTTTTACCTAGAGCTGATGTCTCCAGGTCATCTTCTGATTCGTCCATCAGTTGCTGTCGTTCCTCCGAGTCCCCAGGTGGACACTCTGTCTCCGACCTGCTCCACTGAGGTAGCGAAGGTTCAGGAACCAGCAGAAAGAAATAGCTGGTGAAGGAGGCAAAACACATAAACATATTGATTATGTCAGATTTTGATTCTTCCTTGCAATGTGTTCATACATGACATGGGTTTTAAGGGTACAACCTTTATCAGCCTTCTGTCCCACAATAAAGCCCAATAAATCACTGAAAATGCTTATTAGATTCTTCAACATATACCTGCTTTGCAAAGGTTTCCATACCAACAGACTTTCAGAGTGTTTATTTCATTGGGATTTATTTTAATAAACCAACACAAAGTGGTCCAGAATCATAAAGAGCAAGAAAATAATTGGAAATTAGAGAAGTGTGCCTTTGTTTCTCTGTATTCATTCTGTTACTAGAACATAGCACAACTGTGTCTCTATCAGCTCTCCAAGCTTCTGAGCTCCCGCCTCACAGAGCAGCTCTCCCATGCAACTCCTTCAGACTAACCAGCAGCAATTACCAAACACCTGATGGAACTGCACATCTACTGAACGTATAGTATTCAACTTCTATGCACCACAAAACTGGAACAAACGTCCAGAAAATTGCCAAACAGCTGAAACACTGAGTTACTTTAAATCTAGCCTAAAACCCACCTGCTGAGAGCTGCTTTAGAGCCATAATAATTGGATACTTGATGTGTATTGCACTTCATGTCTTTTTATTTATGTGTTTCTAATAGGTAAACACTTTGAACTTGATTCAAACAGCTTTGAGCAGCTTCATTGCTGAAATGTGCTGTATGGCTAAACTTGTTTGATTGATTGATGCAAGATAATTCCCAGAGCAACGCTGTGAGGAGCCATGTTGTGGTGACTTCCTGAAAGCAGAGTTTCAAAGAGAAGGAGCTTTAAAAAAAGACAGAGGCCTTTAGCAATGTGCTGAATTAGTCAGTAGAATTTCTTTTAAGTCATATATCCAGCATTTTTATAACAACTGAAGATAAGATAGTTACTTGATTGAGTGATACTGCCCCATTAAAGTCTGTTGCAATAAGCAATTAATCACATGATAAATTAAAATAAGCTCTGTAATTTCTATACCAATTATTAACAATTTTTAAGAGTAATTTTGTTTACATAAACATCATAATCCATTTTATTTATTGTTTCGTTTGTAAGTGGTTTTTACTTCCTTTTTTAACAGCATGAGAACTTCAACATTTTTCTAAGCTCAGCTTGAGTGACTTGTGAACAAACTGAAACTGCGTCATCAGTTTGAAAAGGGAGAGACTGTCAGCACGTTTCCTGAAAACAGCTCATTACAGAAGTAATACGTTTTTAACAACACGTTTTTAACACCATTTTGACACTTACCTAAGGAGCATTGCTATCGGAACAATTAGCATAATTAGCAGCGTGGTTCGGGGGGAGAGATGTGCTTGGATGAGGCCTGCATAGAGGAGGGAACCAGTAACACCAGCAGCACCAGTCCCAGAACCCCAGCCTTCCAGAACATTCCTGAGGATGAAGCCAGCAGAGTTACTACCCCAAACCACACAGTTTAAGGGATTACACTTAATACTATATACTGGAAAATGGAAAAGTATTCACACTCATTGAACCCTTCCACCTTTCACACAAATACTTCAATGTATTTTGTTGGAATTTTATGTAACAGAGCTGCAAACAAGAGCTCTAAGCACAAAACCCGAGGACTACACAATATTAGAAAAACATGAAATATGCTATAATATTGTAGAATATTATGATTGTGAACAATATTAAGGAGGAATTTGCATTTGCTACATTGGAACTTATTAAACAAAGCTGTTTCCATCTCACCTTTAAAGAATTTATTTTTATTTTTTGGGGGGGAAAGCCAAAAAGAAACTTAAGTGAGTACAATTTTTTATTTTTTTGTGAATCTGAGAAATTTATTTACATTTTTGACATTTACATCAACTTTTTCTAATGCGGTGATTCAAAATGTGCATAAAAAACATTGATAGAAACATAATAAAAAGATGTAATGAAGCCACATAGTTCTGTTCTTTGTGACTGGGAGAATGCCTGGATATGTTTATCCAGCAGCCACAGTCCAGTGCATACAGCAGTAAAACCAGCTGACCAAATCTGCCTATCTTAGTCAACGAAGCTCCACTTGGGTTAAAACCCAAATGGAAGAACATTTGGGTTTTAATGCAAAGTTGCATTTTCATGCAACTTTGCATGAAAATGAAAGTATTTACCAAAACATGCGGATTTTTTTTTAGCATAATAGGTCTCCTGTAAGTATTTATTCACACGTTATGAGTCATATTAATATGACATTCACCAATGTTATCACGTTTTCCTGCAGGTTGTAGCACAGTCCGACTCTTGGTTATGTGTTTGATTCACTTTAAATAAAACTCAAAAGAAACTAAGACATAGATAATGGTTTTACCTGTTGAAGAAAACACTGAGTGAGAGGAATGATAGTTCCCCCAGCCCAGAGCTTATACTGGCAAATATCACTCCTGTAATGACAGAGTGAATCCGGTGTGAATGCAGGAACTTTTAGCAGACATGCAAAGACACCAAAACGTTTACACAGAAACATCCCCACCTTTGCATTACTGTACAATTTCTTAATGTCCAAGATGTTTTCTTAAGTGTCGTATTTATTTTAAATTTACAAAAACTACCAAAACAATCTCATCTTTTGACACCACAGACCAACTGTTGCATGACTGAAATGTTGGCCTAAACCATAACAAATAACAGTAGGAAAGAGCAAAGTGTTGCTTTGTGCTCAATGCCGTGCATAGGGGCGCCACTAGAACGACCACAGAATTATTTTTTCCAGTCAGAATTTTCTGTATTTAAACAGATCTTTGTGCTTTGAAAACATCCATCAACATGTCTGCTTACATTCCAGAAAGTACCTAACTGCATCCTGTAGGCCACAGACAGTAATATCTTGTAACCAGCTTGTGACTGTGTGGACATTCACAGTATTCTGAATGTCTTTGCTTGCTTATATGTGCATGTGTGTATAAATTTTTCTTTATTGTTGCAGTTATTTAAAATGTAATTACTGACACATTTCATGGCGATCCTTGTCTGCTTGTTTTTTGCTTTTATGTGTTATTTTTTTAAGCGATTGTGTTTATGTTTGTGTTGCTTTAACTTTCCCCCCTTCCCCAGGGACGAATAAAGTTTTACCAAACTGAATTGCGTTATAGAGCAGTGCTTCATGGTAAAACGGTAAATAGCTTGGGTAACATTTTATTTGAAGGGGTGGGCATAAGACTGACTGTCATAAACATAAAACATGAAGGAGTCTGCATGAATGATTGCAAGTTTTGCTGCAAATTGTCATTAAGGAAATAATGACACTTTCAATGCAAAGTTGACACTTTTAATTCACATTTAATGCAAGTTTTACTGCAACTTTGCATGAAAATGAAATTATTTACCAAATAATGCAAAGTTGACACTTTAAATGCACTTTTAATGCAACTATTAATGCACATTTGCATTAAAAGTGATAAAATTTCATGTACACTTCAAAGACATTAACTTTGTTGTTTCCTGGACTCGTGTAGCAGCAACATGCTGTTGTTAAAACTCTCAGTTTGATCACGTCAGATTCCTTTGATAAGAAATGTTCACGGAAGGATGTATTATTAACTGCACTTATCATGACGAGCTGCCTCAGGCTCATTTCAGCATGAAGCTGTGAAATCATATCTCTATGTGTGCAAAGGAGATAAGGTGCAAACTAAACTGAAATGACTCAAATCTATCATCTGACTTCTCCATCATTATCAGCTTCACCACATATATCGAGAAGAGTTGGAGCATCAATAATTACCGACAATACTTAGCCACACTGCAGAGGAAAAGGAAACGAGCAGGAAACTTGCTGCTGCCATGGCGACACAAAACAGCACCCGAAAACTAGAAATATGAAAAAAAAATGTGCTTTTAGAGTTTTGGAAAAGAATGCATCCTTACCATAATATTCAAAAAAATATAAACTATTTACAAACTGTTTCACTTGGAATAATGTGAATAAAAATGAAGTAATGAAAAAAAAAAAAACACTAAAACTTTCAAAGTTCTTCCCATCAGATATGCTTCTTTGACATGTCAAGCTTTATCAAAAAAAAAAAAGGAATTTGAAGCAATAGTGATGAATTCACCCATAGGGTACTTTGTGGATCACAAAGGGAGCCAAAATCTTGATGAAGAGTGTTGGAAGAATGTCAGCCAGCAGCACAGCCTACAAACACACATTACAACGGCTTAGCTTCATTCATTCTGACCTAACAGAACTAATCATGACAAGTGTTTCCATGTTAAATGCAGTGCCTTCCTAAAGTATCCATACCCCTTTTCACATCTTGTCACATTTCCTCAGACTTCTAAGGATTTCATGTGACATTAACAGAAGCTACTGTAAGGCTGTGAAGTGAATGGAAAAGGATATACCATTTATTTTTGCAAAGAAAAATCTGAAAAGTGTGTGAATTTGTATTCACCCCCATTTAATATTTTACTCCTAAATAAAGTCCAGTCAAACCAATGACCTTCAGAAGTCCCCTAATTTAACTGAAATGACACTTTGAATAACTGATTTTATTCAATAGGTTATATATATGTACATATTTTTATTCAAGCTGATTTTGTTCATATAGTTATATATATAGACAGAAATGCAAAGTCTGCAGCTGAACCTGCAGTACAGAACTGACATGATGGATACAAAGACACGTCATATTTCTGACTGCCAGTAAAACCAGAAAGAAGCTACTAATTATTTATATTTGCCACCACTTTGACGCTTTTACAACTGGCAATTATTAACCGTATTGTTAAACTGCATGCAAATAGAACAATAGATCTATTACGACAACAAAATTACTAGTAAATTATTAGTAATTTTTAAAGTAATTTTTGTTGAACTGTTTCTTTCCAACAGTTTATTCAGCTTGATATGTGCTGAAGCTCCATCAGCAAAACAGTTCCAAAATAAGCCTTCACCTTGATATCAAACATATGATGTTATGAAAATGTCTGCTGAAGGAAAAGAAAATAGCAATATGAAGTCATATTGCTACTTCATATTGCCAAATGCCTAAACATTATGACAGTAGTCCCTATTACTGTGCGGTAAAGTGATGTTCCCAGCTCTCCACATCATCATCTGAATGGACCTAACCAAGAGCACTTGAGTAAATTCAGATTTCATCTCTTTTTATGGGGTTTAAAGGAATGGAACTAAATGCTTTGCTGTCTGTTGCGTCAGAACACCCTGGAAATGATTTCTGAGGCTAATAGTGGATGTTACTGGTCTGGTCAGAGGCAACCAGTGAGAGAGTCTCTTCTTACCCCTGTGCTGACAGGACTGCAGTCATACCGACTACTGTTGCTATGGTTTCCAGCTCGGCGACCCACAGCCAGCTGATCAGGGGTCTAGAACGTAAGGTTCACAAATGATCTTATGAAACACCTTTCTAACTATTCATAACATAATGTTTATCCAACATGTGCTTTTAATCACAAATCACAATATTTGCTTCTTACAGTCGCTGTTGAGTTTTTTGATTCTTGCTTTTCGAGGATGTCATGAGCTGCACTCAGCATGACCACATAAGCAAAGTTGTTGCAGAGTCCAAGGAGCCTGAAGAAGGACAGAGACAGCACTTTTCATTGTGTATATATATATATACATATATACATATATACATATATATACACACACACACTCACATATATATATGTGTGTGTGTGTGTGTGTGGGGGGTGGTTCACTTTGCACTTTGTAACTGCAGTAAAAGTTCCTTTAAATCATCAGTGCTGAATGCATAGCAGACATTTTTAATTTTAGTCTTTGACATAAAATACATTACGCTGCAGTAATGTAGCGTATCACCATGTGATATGGTAAAAACCATATCACATGTTATGACAGTGGTATGGTTCCTTTTACAAGACTCTATACGCAGCACAGTTTCAGAATAGTTTCTATTCTTTATGAGGAAGTGACACCAGAATCACCTGACAGCGAGGAGGAAGGTGCAGCTTCACCGGCTGGAGTTTAGTTCTCAGCCTTTCTTTTTACGTTTGTGTCCCTTTTAATACTATTGAACATATGAGTCATCCAGCCAGGATAACATAAAAAAAAATCAATCAAAAATTCACATTCAATTTGCTGAAGCAGTGGCTCTTGTCTCTGCAGACATATTTTGGGATTTTATAAGTGAACACTCACCAAAAGCCGCACCAGTTGCGCCATTTGACGCAACAACCTGGACACAACAGAGAAAACGAAGTGAAATAAGGTTCAAACTGAAAGGGTTGGGTGAAACTGTGAGCTGGGTGACCCACCATTAGTACCGAGCTGTTCCGGTTGGTCCGCATTAACGCCGGCTGAGCTCTCCATGGTCCCAACATGAAAACTTCCACCGAGTCGAGCTACCAAAACGTCCCAGAGTCAACGTTTACAGCATTCTGTTTCAAACAAGCAACAGCAGGCTGACTTTGTCTACTGTTTATCCAAAACAACAACGTCACAAGTTGTGTGTTTCATTTGAAAATGCTCCCCTAGAAACACAGCATAGGACATTGGTTCCTATGTCAGAGGCTGGAACACCGACATTAATGTCACATTCATCTGTTGCTTTCATTATAAAATTTCCCGAGTGGATTAACGTTACAGTACAACAAATACATCTACGGAGCACTATATAAAGAACTGACTTAATACATTTCATTTGATGGATATTTTTCTGCAATCCACGAAGGGCTCAGAAAGCTGCAGGGGAAACTATCACTATGACCTGGAATGTTTTAGAGTGTGATTTTAAACTGGTTTAAATGTGTTGTATTCATGCTCCCGATCCAACTTTAAAAATAGTTTATATTCAGTAGGGTTCTGGTTGGGACCATTACAGAAGTTAGATCTGCTTTATTTATTCAAATTATTGTTTGATGTCTGTTTTGAAAAATCTAAACCTAAACTACACTAAGGCCGAGATATTCAGAGACATTTACTCCCTTTATAATGAGACTTGAATTCAGTCAGTGTTATTGCAGGTAATATACAGTGTCTTGCCAAACTGTTCAATTGTTGCCTTTTTCACATTTTGTCACATTACAGCCACAAACTTCAATGTACTTTACTGTACAGATTATACATAAACAACATAAAGTTGAACATGATTGTGGAAAGAAACAATAAAAAGTAAACAAAACGTTTAACAAATCAGAAAGAGGTTGCGTCTCTTTTATTACTCCATTTTATCCTTAAACCCCTAAAAAAATAATGTGTAACAAGACTTAGTTAAGTCCACTGAAATATCTGATTGCGCAATAATAAAATGTGAAAAAAGTCAAAGGATATGAGTAGTTTTGTGTTACAGTGTAAGATAAACATAGTAAACATTGATGCAAAAAAAGTGAAATTTTTTTTTAAAATTGTTCCAGTATTCAATTCAAAGAAATATCAATAAAAAATGATGTTTTTTCAAATTACTTCAAATTTTTGTCCACACAAAGTAAGAAGGTCTTTTAAATCTGCTTCAAAGTACGTATAAAGGTTTCTCCTCTGCACACGCCTGAAGGGGCTGGGAGATGGACCTGATAAGAGTCTCTCATCATCGGCTGTGTGTATAAAACTCCAGCAGTCTCTGGGCTCCAGCATCTCAGCCATGGCTGTGGGTAAACTGCTCGCTCTGCTGGTCCTGCTCCAGTGCTCTGCAGGTGAGAAACAAGATCATTCATTGTAAGGGTTCCTTCATTCCCAACATGAATGAAGGATCCCACAGACTGATTATTTGTGAGGTTGATATGATAAATATCTTTTCATTATTTAGTCAGGATGTTGTTGGCCACCTTACTGTTGTTTCTTGTGTTGTGCCTTTTGGTCCACACTGACTTTTTGTCTTCACCAAAATGTTGAATTCTTTATTCTGAGGTGACACTACTGTGTATTTTTCCTGTTTTTCTTTCTTTTAGCTTTGATGGGAGCTGGAGTGAGGAGCTCCATCATTGGTGGGGGGGACGCCCCAAGAGGCAGGTGGCCCGGTTTGGTCTACCTTAACATCGTCACAGACAGTGGAAAGAAAAAGTGGCACTGCAGTGGTTCAATTCTCAATCAGAAGTGGATCCTGACTGCTGGGCGCTGCTGGGATGAGTAAGTCTGGATGGAATTGTTGAGTATTTTCTAATAATCTTCCACAATTATACAACTGCTAGTTTAAATGTCTGAACCATTAATTTGCTTTATACGGAGTTAGTCAGAGGCTTTTACAAAATACATTTCAATCAGTTAATGTAGTTGATTAGAATGGGTAGAAAGCTGATACTAAGAAAATTAGCAGTTGTGCTAACTATGGCATATTTACATCCATGCTTATTGGTGACATATTCATTAATACGTATTGTTCTAATTTAGATAAATAAATTGAAAGAAAATCCTGACAGGACAAGGCTATTAAGAATAATTTAAAATACCCATAAATTAATATTTAAAATTAAATTTGAAATTTTTAACTCACCCCTGGTCTTAAGAGACAGGAAACCCCACAACCTTTTGAGGTTCTGGCTTTGTGTCTTTACTTGATATTTTTTGTGTGTGGTTTTGGGAACTGATGGTCTGAAGGGACACACCTGACCCCAACTTCTGCTTTCTGACCGTCATGGGAGAGTTAAAACCATATTAATGACATATAAACAACAGACAGGTTGTTCAGTTGGTATTATTCACAATCATGGAGATGCCTTAAATGTATTTTAATTTATTGACGTAATTAATTGAAACATTTTTCCCCTTTAATTAGTTGTAGTCAAGGTGTATGCACAAGCAGCAACATCATCGACCTTGTTGTTTTTTGTAACCTGAGTTATGTAATTCATAATGTGTAGATTTGATTTTTCTTGTTGTCCTGGCAGTTAAAGTAAGAGAGATCTGATCATCTCGTTTGGTCAAGACAGATAAAGGCAGTAAAGGAGAGTGAACGGATCCTGCAGCTGAATAGTGTCACAAAATGTTTGAGAGTTGGGTGTACAGGGAGTAAAAAAGAGGTAGAAATCTGATCTCTTTTGTTTTTTGTGTGTCAGAGAATTACGGACCAGGTGGGATCGAACGGGAGTGTGGATCGGCACATATGAGCTGGGCATGCCATCTGAACGTTACATGAATATAGACCTTGTTGATCGTCTACCTGAGTTCAGGGCTGCTGGCAATGGCTTCATCAATGACATCGCGCTGTTAAGGTTAAAATACCCTCTAGAATTCTCTAACACTGTTGCTCCAGTGAACTTACCCAATGAGGATGAGACCTTCGATTCTTCCTCTGAGTGTTGGATCGCAGGCTGGGGTGATATTGGCAAAGGTGATTTCATTTTCCAATTGTCTGCACTGTAAAATCTACATAAGTAATGTTTTCAGAAATTTGCCATTGGAAATGCTTTTTGAACCTTCCTATAATGAACTATGTTTCGACATTAAAATCTACTTGAGTAAACGCTCATCCTTGACATGAAGGCTGCATGACTCTTTGTGTTTCCATCCAGTTGCTCTGCCAAAAACAAAACCTGTTCAGGAGGTGCAGATTTCCATCTTGCCTCAGCCAGATTGTAAAGCCAAATATCCGACCATGACTGATGCGATGTTGTGTGCAGGCGACCCTAAAGGGAAAAAGAACCCCTGTGATGTAAGTTTCAACCTAAATGTGAACTGAGATGATTTTCGATTTCAATATCTGTGTAGTCGTTTGTGTATCAAAGCAAAAACTTTAATTACTCGGACTTGTCCCTAACATCCAAATAAAACAATGCAAACCTGATCTGTTTGTCTCAGCTCCCTCTCAACATGTGTGCTTATGTACAATAACTACAATTTCATTCTCACATAGTTTCTGAGCATTGTGCACTTTGATTTTATAAGCATGCTCAGGTAACAAAACCTAACTTTAAGTTAAATCTGCTTCTCCTCAGGGTGACTATGGCGACCCGCTCATGTGCCGCACAGCCAGAGGCTTTGTGCAGGTGGGAATCATGAGTTATGGGAATCCTAATGGTTGTGAGGTCGCAGGCTTTCCTAGCATCTACACTCGAGTCTCCAGCTTTATTGGCTACATCAAAGATCGCATGAGAACCCTTGATGAAGAATCAGCCTCTGCCTAATGTTCCCAGAAGCCAGAGGAAGTCAAAGGCTTCCCCAACCAGCAGAGTTGATGCATTTCTGAGCTTATCTCCTTATCCACTCAACCCACTGCTCTCTCTCTCTCTCTCTCTCTCTCACTGTCAAACATTTAACCACATTGCATTAAAGCTTTGAAGCATCACTTTTGGTGTTTGTGTTTATTTCATAAACAAAAATTATCTGTAGCTCAATGAAAAAAATAAAACATTAACTACCTGAAAAGTGAAAAATAAAGACTTTTCTAAACTAACTATTTTACGATTATGATACTTATTTTTATTTTCAACAATGCAACTCCTTGCAATTCTTCCATATAGACCACATTTGTGCAGTGATGACTAGTTGTCCTGTGGACAGGCTCTGAGCTGTGGATCATCTGGTCCAGACTCACCTGGAGCCTCTTGGCTGCATCTCTGATCAGAGCTCTGCTTGTTCAGCTGAAGTTCAGGTGGACAGACTGAACCTCATGTCGTCTTGGGCTGACATGAACATTTAACACATTAAACTCAGTTATGATTTAATGTGTTAAATTAGAACATAACTAAACACATAGCAATCCTTATGCAGTCGGACCATAAAGTAATATTTGTATGGAAAATGGCCCCTACAAGGTATCAAATACAAAATCACACTCACACTCCTACATTCACAAGGACTATGTTGTGCACAAATATAAACATTTAAACTAGAAAAACTTAAAACATTTTTAATTTTGATTTACAATTATTAAAAGATTATATTCTTCTGAATTCCTTCAGATTTTTATCCACACAAAGTGAGGATAAAAATATTTTATGATCTTATTCTTATTAGCTGTCTTGTTCCTGTTTTCTTTTACGTCAGTTCTTTGTGTTTTCAGTTATTCTTTGTTACTCTAGTTTCATTATTTTTCTTTAGTCTTGCTGATCTTTAGTGTTATATTTATTTCCTGTTCCCCTCTTTACTCTCCCTCACTAGCTGTTCCGTTTTCTCCCTCTGCTCAGTTTGCCTCCTGCTCTCCCTGCAGTCAGTTAACTAATCCACCCAGACCTTTAGTTCATTCTTTCACTCTTTTGTTCCTCGTCGTTTCTCTGGCCTCCCACAGTTCTCCTCATATAACTGGCCTGAGTTTCGTAACAGTTTATTTTTGTTAAACTTTAGATTTTTTTTTTCTGGTAAATTTGTAAGTTTGTATTTCATAATTTTTTCCCCCATGAAATATGTCAAAATTTAATGGGAAAAATGTAATTTTTGTATCCACTTTAAAAACACGCAATATGTCGCTCTGCATGTTATTTAGCGTGTGTGTGTCTGATGGAGCTGATAAGAGTCTCTCATCATCGGCTGTGTGTATAAAACTCCAGCAGTCTCTCGGCTCCAGCATGTCAGCCATGGCTGTGGGTAAACTGCTCGCTCTGCTGGTTCTGCTCCAGTGCTCTGCAGGTGAGAAACAAGATCATTTTACATAGAACAAAATCACAATAAGAGATGAGCTGACTGTCCAGTCCTCTTGTAGCTACCTGTTTCATTTTTTCTTCAGTGGTGAACTTCTTTGTAAATGTATCAAACTGTTTTGTGGAGCAGTTGCTGTTATTTAATTGTTTAAATTATTCAGAATTTCCACTGTTTAAAACTGATTTGTGGAAAACCTGAACATGAAAATCCTGCTGTTTTGAAGTGGCGCTGAAATCAGTGATTAATTGTGGCGTGTGATTCAGGACTTTACTTTTACTGTGTTTTTTGTGAATGTTTGTTAAATGTCTGTTAATTCTTGATTGTATGTTTATAATGTCTTTTTATTGTTTGGGTCTCCTTGTCTAGGACTACAGATGGAAATTAGCAATTATGCTAATATCTGGCTCATTTACAGTCTGTACAGTTGTGTTGACTGTCCATTAATGTGTACTGTCCTTAATAAAGATTAAAGATTAAAGATTTAAGGGCGCAGCAGCACAACCGGAGAGGGAGACACACACCGTCAGGTCTGCGCAGCGGGAGACCTCACTTGATTAAAACGAGTAAAAATAGAAGAAAAGACATGAAAGAGACATAAGTTTCCCCAGCACCGCAGATCGTGCATTTAGAAACTGGGTCGGAGTGAGAGGACAGAAACTGAACTTTACTTTTCTTTTTCATTTTGGATTAGAAAGGAGAAACACTTTCAGGACTTTGTTTTATTTTTTGAGGATATTGAACTCTATTGCGTACATTACTCTCATTAAAAAAAGAACAGGAATATTTGGACATTTAACTATTTTTTTGCTGTCTTAAACTGAGTGATTTAAATCTGACCTATAATTATTTTTGGTTAGTGAAATATTTATCAGAATAACTATTATTATTTCTTAGTATTGTGGTTTTCTGAATAAATCATTGTGGCTAAAAAAAAAAAAAAATGTCATATTGTCTGGCTGGATATTTATTTTCTCATCAAATTATATGATGTAACATAAGATCACCCTTGAATATATTGTGAGTTCCACTTTAAATCAAGCCGAACGTAACTACTGTGTATTTCTCCTGTTTTTCTTTCTTTTAGCTTTGATGGGAGCTGGAGTGAGGAGCTCCATCATTGGTGGGGGGGACGCCCCAAGAGGCAGGTGGCCCGGTTTGGTCTACCTTGACATTGTCACAGACAGTGGAAAGAAAAAGTGGCACTGCAGTGGTTCAATTCTCAATCAGAAGTGGATCCTGACTGCTGGGCGCTGCTGGGATGAGTAAGTCTGGATGGAATTATTATAATAATAAATGCAGTTTACAAATGCAGTTGTAAACTAGCATTTACAACTGCTAGTTTAAATGTCTGAACCATTAATTTGCTTTATACGGAGTTAGTCAGAGGCTTTTACAAAATACATTCCAGTCCCTTACTGTACTTGATTGGGTAGAAAAGTGATACTATCAAATACTATGAAAGAACTTATTGTAAAAATATTAAGCATAACATCTATAAATGAGTGAGATCTGATCATCTCGTTTGGTCAAGACAGATAAAGGCAGTAAAGGAGAGTGAACGGATCCTGCAGCTGAATAGTGTCACAAAATGTTTGAGAGTTGGGTGTACAGGGAGTAAAAAAGAGGTAGAAATCTGATCTCTTTTGTCTGTTTTTGTGTGTGTCAGTGAATTACGGACCAGGTGGGATCGAACAGGAGTGTGGATCGGCACATATGACCTGGACATGCCATCTGAACGTTACATGAATATAGACCTTGTTGATCGTCTACCTGAGTTCAGGGCTGCTGGCAATGGCTTCATCAATGACATCTCACTGATAAAGTTAAAAAGCCGAATAGAATTCTCCAACACTGTTGCTCCAGTGAACTTACCCAACGAGGATGAGACCTTCGATTCTTCCTCTGAGTGTTGGATCGCAGGCTGGTGGGGAAAAATCAATTGTACGTTTTTCACACTCATGTTGCATAAATCTATACACACATACGCAGACTAAGGGTGAACTTAATGTGTTATCACAATATATTGTGGTAACATTATATAGTTACCACAATCAACGGTGATAAAAGTTACAACATTACTGCTGTCATGGCGTGGCCCCTGAAAATCAAACCTTCTGTAAAACTCTTCTGCAGGACAAGTTTATAGAAAATGAAGCGGTATTTATATCACTAGACTGCAGAAAGTAACTTCACTTAATAATATTTTCAAATGGATTAATATTTATTGATACTTCAGTTGCGCAAACAGTGGAGAAACTAGTAAAACTAACAATCCAGACAACATGAACAGTTTTAAGGGATTTTAAACATGACAATAAATTGGAATTCATCGATAAATCTTAATAAATTCATGAAATTTATCACGATAAATGGTCAGCAATGCGATGAATGCCCTCTTCTGTCACACACACATTATATAGGTGCATAGTAATTGTATAGTAATAATCTGTTTCATCACCTGAACCTCTCTCTGTGCCCAAGTAGCCCAGGGTGAGTACTCAAACACTCTACAGGAGATGAAGGTTCGAATTGTGTGTCAGACCAGATGTGAAGCTGCGTTTCCAGGCCTGACTGATAACATGCTGTGTGTTGGCAGCCCTGCTGGAGGAAACTATTCCTGCAACGTGAGTTTCAGCATTTATATAAAAACTAACATGCAGAACATCAGTCTAGTCTAAAATGCAGTGAATGAGGTTGTGTGGAGAACATCCACAAATTTTACAGATTAAGTCAAAACTGGTTCATGGAAAACATAAAACCATCTGCTAAAACCATGTAAGCCAGGAAATTACATTACAAACAAACTAACATTATCACAGTGTGTCAATTTTCAGCATCCACCAGGAGACTACGGCAGCCCGCTCATGTGCCGCACAGCCAGAGGCTTTGTGCAGGTGGGAATCATGAGCTTTCACAGTCCGGATGATTATCGTATCCCAGACCACTTTGGAATCTACACTCAAGTCTCCAGTTATATGGACTACATCACAACATACACTTTTTTTGGCTAATATACCAAGAAGCAAGTAAAAATATCTGAACTATATCAACTCGTACATCTAATTTGATAATTAATTCCTGAAGACTCTCTGCCTTCATCAGCTTGTCTCCTTGTTCCAATCAAACCTTCCAGTTTATTCACTCTTTCTAACCCAGAGATGCATCTCAGTAAATTAAGTAATAAGATATAGTTTCAGGATTTCTATTCAAAAAGTGGAATTACTGCAATGCAAGGCTACTGATATGACAACAGCCCTGCAGAAAGTCACTGACGGCCTCCATAAGGCTAAAAAAAAAGAGACCATCTAGAAAGACTTTTTAAAAACTATTTAGAAAATGTGTGGTAGAAAAAGGTGAGGCAGCAACAGAAATAACGCCTTAGAAATAATGATGTATTTCTAAGGCCCATTTACAACCCCACACTTATTGGACCAGAGTTCTGGGCAAAAAGGTCAAATAAGTCAAAACGCATCCAGGCACGTCTAACAAAATGAGAATATCATGAAAAAAATCAATATTTTTGTCACTCATTTCAGAAAGTACTAGTGGCATCTCTGGGTCAGGAATGAGTCGGTTTGTCTGTGTATTGCAGCTCTTGATGTGCTGACTCCAGCCTCCTTCTGAAGTTCCACCAAATTCTGGAACTGATTGTGCTTGACAATTCTGAAATATGTTATTAATCTCAGAGGGAAATTAAATGTATAACATAAAATCCTGCCAAGGTCGTAATAAACCCTGCTGGCGGTATTGTTGTCCTGCACACTTTTTTCTTCCACTCAATTTTCTATGAATATGCTTGGATGACATCGGTGCATTAAAAATGCTTCCCATCTTAAAATGTATTTATAGTCAGATTAAAATTTTCTGAAACATTGGATTTATCTCAAGAAATGAAGAAGTAAATTATTCACTCCACAAATTACATGTTTCACTTTCTGAAAGGAGGGAAAAAGAAACAATGAAAATCTGCATATTACCAAAATAGGAATAAGACAAAGAAAACATGAAATTATGTAAATGAAAACACAACTTTAAGTAACTAAACATTTTTAGAAGCAAATGAACCACAAAGTTTACATTAGAATAACAAAGTTTCAGTAAAACTGAGGGCCTGTGAATAAAGACGGGTTTAAAAGCTCCAGTTTGTGTTCAGAGTCTGGACTGCCTCTGCCGAGGCGCAGCGCTTCCTGTTCGGTTTCGATTGTGAACAAAGTCCAATCCAGGGTTTGGAGGAAATTTAGAAGATGTGATTGTGAACTGCAGCTGAAGTCAGAGTTCCAAGAGCCTTCACACACACACCCCCCCCCCCCCCCCCCCACACACACACACACACCCACACACACACACACACACACACACACACACACACACACACACACACACACACACACACACACACACACACACACACACACACGTATCCAGGACATCTGATCAGTTGCAGTTGGAACTGGGAGATCCTGACTTTCTTGTTGAAAATCAACTGGGACTCCATCCAAAGCTGGACTTTCCACTGGAAACTGGGAGAAACTTTGCTATGACTTGTAGGCGTTTCAAAATGGCCGCTCCTCACATCAGCAATGTTCACTTTACAAGACACATGTAAGAGTGTGTCTAAAATTATTTTACATGTAGCACCTGCAACTATAAACTTTATATTTTTGAGATACAAATTATACTGCATGAACTGTATTGCAACTATTAGCAATGTCATGATGATTATCATGATGATACATCAGTTGTGAATAAATATTCTATCATAAAATACTATTTTATGATATAAAAAATATATAAAATATTTTATGATATAAAAAAATCAGACCATCATTAACTAGTGGTCTGACTTTACATTATAGTTGACTTGGCAAAAGCAGAGAAAGACTGTTGTCAGTATATTACAGCAATGTTACAATTAGAAAACCTCACAGATTCACATGTTTTATGTACAAAGGTGTAATTCCTGTGTTAGTTACCATTTTTACTGGACAAACGGACACTTTATTAATCCTGTGCGGGAATTGGTTTTGCTACAGCAGCAACAAGTAAATCAATAAAAATGATTAAAAAATAAAGAACATAATATGTAAGCAGGTCTGGGAACATTATCAGTTCAAATTGATAAGGCGTCAGAATAAACTGCACACACACATAAATAAATCCCAACACACCTTGTGGCAGTGTGTGAACTGAGAGAAGCAGCTTTTCTCCTCCATCAGCCAGCAGGCACCATCCAGCTGGTCAAGTGTCGCCATGGTGACAAGAGTCAGTTGGTGGAGCATCATCATTAAGAATCTTTCAACTTTAACGATCCCGATGATTTATAAGGTTTGCATACATGTAAAGTGGAAAAATTGCAACCAAAGATGTTGCAGCTGAACCCTAGAAATCCATGAATTATTTAGGACAGTCTGAGATGGTGCTGAATATTTCTTCTATAACTCTGTTGAACATTAAAAATACAATTGAAAAAAAATATTCTAATATTTTAAATCAACAAACATTTGCTTATGGTCAAAAATAGGATTATATGCTAAGACTACACTAGACACCAGATTTTATAACAGATTTGCTTTTCTTGCTGCTTTGCACAGGATGTTCTGTCTTTTTTACTCTAAGATCTCTTGGAGATTCGTGGTGCATCACCCGCTAACAAAGTGGCTACAACTGCTGCCTTAAATTACACTGCATTTAAGCTGTCTCATGTGTCAAAAAACATGATCAACATATTTCAAACCCTTACATTTTAAAATGAGTAAAATCCATGCATTGTCCGTTCTGCTTTATCGTTTCTCTCTGGTCAGGAAATGGAGGGTTTCTAATCACTCGGCTGGATGTGGTCAGAACCTGCTTGGAATATCTTTTCTCGGTAAATCAATCTTTTTTTCTTCAGAAAGTTTCTGTGCCTACATTGTTGATTCTGTTCCACCCACCTGGATCCCAGGGAAAAGATGCACTAGGTCCACATTGGTAATATTGAAGAAATAAACATTAGGTGAGATAAGATCAACTCGAAACTTCATGACCTGCACCATACCAGATTCCTCTTTGCAGCTTAATAAAAAAATATGTAGATATTTTTATTAAATAAAATGTATTTTACAGTGGGTACTTTGTGTTCTGTAAAATCCACTGTTCAAAGAAACCATTGATGTTTTTCTTACAAAGAACTGGTAAGCACTTCTTATAAAAGGGCAATATTTATTTCCATTTTTTAAACTATGTTGCCTTATTACAAAAAAGAAAAAAATCTTTTAAATCATATAATTTAAAAGAAATTTTCTTCTTGATTTAAAGCCTTGGAATTCGGCCTCTATCACTTAAAAATTTCCTGCTCTTTCTGCAACTGTCTTCAGGAAGTCATCACATCGCTGCTCTATTAACTCTTTACCAGCATTTTACTGAGAAGTAGCTCCTATAATGAGCAGTTCCACCAGGTGTTTGCTAATTGCTGCTGGCTAGTCTGAAGGAGCCGAGTGAAGGAGTTGTGGAGAAGGTTTGCGCTGTGAGGTGGAAGTTTGGAAACTGCAGCTTTGAGGAGGAGCTGCGTCTTGAAGGCGGGGCTAGGTCCACCCAGGTGTTCCGCATATCTGAATGGTTGCCATGGAGATAAAAGGATTTCTCAAACATGCATGAAAGAATCAAGGCAACACTCCAGGCATGTTTTTGATGAGGATGATGTAAGATCAAAAAAGTTAATTTTACATGATACTGCCTCTTTAAGATGTTGTGGCACTAGTTGCCTTTTTTCTCTAGTAAAACAGAAAAGACAAGGGAAAGAAAAGGAACAGAGGCAGATGAAGCAAACAGTGTAGGAGGCGGCACTGTGGACTGAGACAGTAAACCTGCACAAGGCTGGAATTAGGATTGAAAAAAAGGAGTCATTCCTTTTCCCCAATCTACAATGATTGTAATATGCTGTCATATTAAATGAAGCTTCTGTTTAATAGCCCCAGCGTAGCTGCAGATAGAGAACAGCTTTCTGTTACTTCCTCCATTAGATCCTCAGGTGAGCTTCTGAACAGGTAGAATCAATTCTCATGAGAATCAACTAGAAATCAATCACCCTTTAACAACTACATGAAATCAAAAAGATGGAAATGAAGCTTTTTATGTAAAAGGTTGTTGGTCATAACAGCACCGCCTCTTCACAGCCCCGTTTAGTTTTTATTAGCATTGATATAATCAGGACTTTGGTTCTAAACAGACTTAAGAGTCATGAAAGTCAACATGAATGAGGGCTGAGATGCAGCCAAATACTCTGTTATATCAAAATATGGAATATGAAACAGTTTATGTCATTTTAGTGACTCAGTAAAATTTGTCAGGTAAAATAATTCTCCTTTCATAAACACACACTCATGATTCAGATGGGAAAGCATTTTTATGAGCCAACCATCTTTAATTCCATAGATAAAGTTTGTGGTAAGCCCAAGCCCAGCAGTTCCTCATGAGAGCTTTTATTGTCCATATTTTCCCCCAAATGAAAAGGTTCAACATTTCAGATGAAACCAACAAGGTTGGAATGTGATGTTATGAACCTGAAAATGTTTCACGGACCAAAATAAAACCATCCTGCCCCAGAACCCTGTAGGACCCCGCCAGAGGCAGCAGCTAGGCCTCAGTCTGCTCAGTCTGCTCCCTGCAGGAAGCTGCTGCCACCTGAGGCGTCTGCTTGTTTCTGCCCGGCTCCGTCACTGAGCCCTCTGTCCGCTCACACTCCTTCTGCTGGTCTTCCTCAGCTTTCTGCTTGTCTGCTTTGGTCTTGAACCTCAGCCCATGACCTGAAAATCAGACAGCAGGCATCCTTAAAGGGACAGTGTTATGTGTCTGACAACTCTGACATAGAGCCATTTTATGGCACTATTAAGTAACTATGTTACCTTCAGTTATGAAATACTGTATACATCAAACTTTACCTAAAAGAAATATGACTTTGGAATTTAACGCCTCTAAATTGGGTCTCCGTCTCTTTAAGAAGCTGCTGCTCTGACATTCTGCTTTCAGGAAGTCAATGTAACAAAGTTCTTCCATTCAGCCTTTAACAATGCTTTT